CAATAAATGATTCATAATTACTTCTCTATTCTTCAAATTTTGAAAAATAATTTCAAATATATGCTAGCTTTATTTTAAATGTACATCCTATAAAAACTCAGAAGGACTGGTTGGTCAACCTACAACATCTTATAAACTCTTTTAATTCCCCCCACACTCAATGTAGTTGATAATTGAAAAACAGATCAAAGTTCGATTCATTGTCATCTAAATAAGTCTATGACAACTAAAAGAACTATAGAGTGCTCTAGATCAAAACAACAACAACAACAACAACAATAATTCCCAGACAGTAATTGTGAAAGTTGACTTCTCATTCTTTCCATCACAATTCTATGCATCTATACTACCAGGGCAAGAAAACATTTGCAAATGCAAGCAAACTTCTGACTCAATAAGGGTGGGGTTGGGGCAGAGTAGAGAAGGAATCAGTTGTTAAAATAAATAATCTGGTCAACCAATAGCCCCAGGAAAGCAAAAGCCTAGAAGATATTATGAAAGGACATTCTTAAGCATTAGATGTTCCTAGGAATTTTAGAAATAAAGATTAGGGATAGCATTTTAATCCTGGATCTTCTGAAGAAATGTTGAGTGCCATGGGCTTCTCATAAACATGTCCTAAGAGAAAAATGAACAATAATGGTCCTAGAGGAAGATTGTGGGGCATCCACATTTTTTCATTTATATTCGAGAATTCAATACTAATTTTATTGAGTCACTATGTGTTCAACATGGTACTGGGCACAATAATACATACAAAAATACTCTTATCCTTACCCTACTTACCATCTACGAGAAGAGATGGACAATTTATAGTTATGTGGAGCTATCTATGAGTACTGGTTAGACCAAGTATAGAGAGCCAGCACACAATGGTACAGAAAGCTCAGAAAAGTTTACCAGAAAAAAAGGACCTTCACGCTCAGTTCATGGAAGCTGAACCTTATGAATTGAAATTGAGTATGGCTGAGGCATAAAATGCAAGGAAGAGAGGGCAGAGTGCTGAGAGACAGTGCTAACTATAAACAGGGAGCAGGTCAGGAAGGGCCCATGAGATATTAAAAATGTTGAAATTTCTTCAAGAGGCACTGGGAAATGTTTTAAATTTCAAGCAAGGGAATGAATCAATACCAAGACCAGATTTACATTTCAAGGATGTGAGCACAGCAAGGTTGCAAGCTAAGAGGCTATTGTGGTGAGAGATAATGGTGGCCTGGACTAGAGAGGGCAAGTTGGCAAGTTGGCAAGTAGATAAGTAGAATGACGCAAGAGGAATTTTGGAGAGAGATAAAATGGACTAGACTTGGTAGATGATTTATAAAGAAATAAAGTCAGAAGATGAGTCAAGTATGACTCCATGTTTCTGGTTTAAACAACAGAAGCATTTGCCTGAACAGGGGAAACAGGTCTTTTGAGAAAGACCACAGATTCAGTTTTGGCAAGTCGAGTTTGAAATGGCTATTAAATAGTGAAAATATTGACAGCATCACTGCTCAACAGAAATATAATACAAGCCATAAATGTAAGCCACAGATATAATCTTAAATTTTATGTTAGCTACATTAAAAAAGCAAAAAGAAAAAGGTGAAATTAATTTTAATAACATATTTAACCCAATATATCCAAAATATTATTTCAACATAACAATATAAAAAATTACTGAGCTATTTTACATTATTTTTTTCATACCAAGTCTTAGAAATATGGTGTATAATTTATACTTACATCACATCTAAACTTTGGACAGGCCACATTTTGTGTGTTCAGCAACCACATGTGGCAAGTGGCTACAGTATTTGACAGTGCAGATCCTAAAGGTTGTCGGATAAATGGGTCTGGAGTTCAGTATAGCTGTGTAGACTAAAGGGAAAAAATCTGGAAGCATCAGTGAATGTTAATTGAGGTGGTGAAATAACCTAGATCACACGGGAAGAGTATGACTTGAGAGAAAGGAAAGCTTTTTACAGAGCCTCAAGAAACACTAGCACTTAAGGGACAGGAAAGGTGATTTAAGGAGCACACAAATATCTATCAGTAGCATTACCCTTGTCCTATATAATTATCCCTATACAGAAGAAAACATTGATCTAAATTTTAGGGCGAATGAAGCCAAAGAACTATGTTAGGCATGTCATCATTATGAGACCTCTAGAGAAAAATGGTCACTGACATATTTTTCTGAAATGAGTTCCTGACTTACATTGGTAGGGCTAATACACCCCTGTCTTATCAGCAACGATGGAGTTGACAGAATATGATTGGTAGAAACAGAAGCTGGGAAAAAAAACACTATCCGGAATACTCATAGATCCTACAGAAAGCCTGTTTTTAGAACTGGTAAGCGAGACAGAAAACAATATAAAAAGCTCTCATGCAGATCTAGCATGTTGCCATTTTAACAAAATATAAACTAGACCTTTTTTGCCTTGTACAGGTTGGAAACTTTTTTGATATTAAATATTATTACCAATTTCAAATATTTACATGTCTCTGTCAAACCAGCTGCTAGGGTCAAGTCAGAGGAAGCTCTAAAACAAGTGCCACAAATGTGGGTACCCATTAGACTTAGGGTAGTAAGGGAAGGGACAGAAAGCTGCCACTGTCAAACAATGAACTTACAATAAAAATGGAAGAAAGAGGGGGCCTTCCAAGAAAGAAATTATACTTCAACCACTCGGTTGTTAGCAAAAGGGGAATGGGGTGACTTCTTTACACAGCTATGTAAGGCCACATGCCTGGCCTTCTGGGGACATTGTGCTGAGGGAGGAGGGTAAGAATGGAAAGTAATGATAGCAGGGTGCTTGTGCCATATCAGATCTCCATCAACATGCAACCCCAAAAGATCAGGACTATGAGAGCTTTGTAAATCAACTCTTAGGGTGCTTGCTCCAGGGCAAATAGCACAACAAATTAATCCTTTCTCCATGAAATGCAGCAAAGTTTGTATCTACACTGAATTCAAATTGCTCATTAGTTCTGACATGTTCCTAATGAGGTTATAATGCTCTGGGACAAAGATCAAGTCACTGAGCACAAATAGCTAGGGATAGAATCATAGAAAGATAAAGTTAAAAGGACCTTTGAGTAGTGCTTCCCAAACTTGAATATAAATCACCTGGAGATTCTAATTCAGGATGTCTGGGCTGGAGTCTGCAATTCTCCAGGTCCAATAAGCTCCCAGGTAATGCTCGGGCACTTTGACTAGCAAGTCTCGAGAGTCTATCTAATCCAATCACTTATCCTAAAGGTGAGGACTCTAGGGCCAAGAGACTTATAATTGAGAATATGCTGAAACTTCCCTGGGGCTAATTTGGGGTAGTGGGACATTTGTCCATAGACCTGCGGGTAAATCTGAAATTTTTTAAATAGAACCATAGGGAGTGCAGTCACCAACCATTTGGTTTTCCCAAGACCGAAGGAGTTTCTGGGACATGAGATTTTTTAATTTATAACCAGGAAAGTTCCACAAAAACAAAAATGTGTTTTTCACACTAGTGGGAGCCTTTTGAACCTACTTAAAATATCATTTCAAGATTATTATCTTTCTGACCTCCTCAGTCCCTAAGTGCTGGGATCATGACCTGCTGCTAAGTTAAGCACCTAAGTATCCTGTGCTAAAGATCTCCAAGAACATGTTCAGATAAGATTACATCTGCAGTGCCTTGTAACACCACCACTAAGCGCTTCTCTGAGACAGTCTTTCAGTAGGTCTCAAAGTAAGGCATAAAAAAAAGAGAATAATGCAGAGAAATAAATATCACACAAGGGTATAATGTTCTTTTTAACTACACAAATCTATTTTAATTTTCTCTATTTGAAAAAAATGCATATAAGAAATAAATCACTAAATTTTATAAATCACAAAACACTCATTAAAAACACCTTTGCTAAAAAAAAAATCACAAAAATAAAAATAAAATTCAGGATATATCTGTGAGAATTAAAAGAAAAAAAGTCATGCTCTGTGCAATCAAAATGATTAAAAATGAAAAATACCCCTTCACATTGCTATTTTACTCACTGGAATTGTGCCCATTAACATTAGATAGAATAATAAACAATCTGGAAAGCAAAAGTGAAAAAACGCTCAGACTATTCAATGTTAGCAGTGTATTTCTAAGGCTTTTAAAACAATATCAAGATATTGATTCCATATGCATTCAAAATACAGACAGCGCAATCCTGACCACACCGACTCACTCTCTGGAGTTTAGTGGTTTAAGACAGAAGCCAACGTGGTCTAGTTAAATCACTTGACTTAGTATTCATGTAGCTAGGACACTTAAAACAAAAGAAGGAAAGAAGTCTGGCTACATATATACAATGCATTTGAAATAGGTACAAGATAGAACCCTAGACACTCAGCCATCATTACCTAGAAATTAAAGAGGGCAGAAGCAATCCTATTATGCATTATAAACAGCCCAGTTGCTGACTTAATGGTAGTTTGACTAGCAAAACCAAGGAGTCCTTGCTCCAATATTAATAGGAAATGTATTGTACGAATCCAATAGTTCATGAAATTAACAAGGAAAATGAACTGGAGTGAAGCAACGTTGCAAGTAATAGGAAGGCATCAGCAATTGTTTCCCTGGAGCATATTGAACATTTAAAAAGAGCTTGGGGAGAGAAAATGTATATAAATGAGAATGGACATTATTGGAATTTTTTAATAATACTTTTAATTTAAATACATTTCAAATTCTCTGTTGATTGCAAGTCTTTTCAAGATGAAGCTATTAGCTCAAAATGTCAATAAGAGATCATGGACTACAAGTTCTGGTCTAGTGATATTAAAAGTTAGCTGCCATTTGAATCAGCCTAAAACTAACACAAACTTATAATTTGACAGCTGTCAAAATGATTCCCACATCACTTATGTAGAACTAAATACTTCAAATAGAGTCTAGAAAAACAATTTCCCTTTTATAATTCTCAACAGCCTGAATGATATGTGTATGCTCATTGGCAAACTGAAAAGTATAGTTAATTCAACTTACAATCCAATAGACATCCGATGAAAGAGAACATTTTCCCCACAGACACTGCCAGGGACAATCTGACTGAAGCTGGAATTGACCAAACAAGAATCTGGGAGGGTTTCCATTGAAGCAAGAATATGACTTCCATTTTTCCCAGACAGAGACCCATCCAAGTCTTCCAGAATTGCTGCATGAGGAAATGGAAATGCTACTATGTTTGGAGAGTTTGTAAACTTCAACTGGTTGGTCTTCACAGTAAATCCACCTATAAAGTGGAAGACAGAAAGACTGTTACACATGGCACAAAAGACTATTATAACAAATGGCAGCTGAATTTACTGGGATGTTTTCAGTATTTTAAATTGCATATTTATACAGTTTTACAATACACTCACTTATTTATTCAGAAAGAAATCATGAATGCTTACTGTATGCCAGGTTCTTGGTATGTGCTGAAGATGCAATGGGAAACAAGAGTAGTATTAGTGCTGCCTTCATGCAGCCTGTATTCTAGGGCAGTGATTCTTAACGGGGGGTTGTTTTGCCCTCCAGGGGACATCTGGCACTATTTGACATCACTTTTGGCTATCACGACTGGGTTGATGGCAGAGCTATTGGCATCAGATGGGTAGAAATTGGGATGCTGATAAACATCCATAATACACAAGACAGTCCTCACAACAAAAAAAACTCTCCAGCCCAAAATACTAATAGTGCCAAGGGTGAGAAATAATGGTCTAGTGGGAAATAGAGAAATAGAACACTAATTTACTAATTACTATACACTAAAGGTGTTATGGTTTAGTCTTTCGATCTGTCTGCTCCAGTTCTTCTATGGTGAGTCTAACCCCACCTTTATAAGGTTTATACTTTAAACATTTACCCTCATGAGCAACATTAAATCATGTGGGCAAATAGTCATAGTAACACACTTTTTTAAGTATTAGCTCTAGAGCTGCACTTCTTAGCAGCCTGTCTCTCACAGCACCTCCATGTTATTTATGGGTACTGCTGCTAATCCAGTTGCCCAAGAAGAAAATATGGCAGTAGTCTTTTAATCCACACACCTCGTCATTAAAATTTTTAAAGTGAGTACACATCTCTTAGTACACATACTACCATACTTCTGCATTACATCCATTATAAAATATACAAACAGAAAAATAAAAAAGAATAAATTACAAATAAATAGAGATTCTGAGGTTTTCATTCTGCATCCCAGTAGTCCATGCAGTGAATTAAGTCATGCATCCAAGACCCCATGGTTAACCTCTTGCAACTTCTGTAGTTCATCTAAAACCACAACCACCAGAAGCTGTACAATTTAGTCCTATTGGAATTTCAATTTCTTACATATGCTGTTCAAATATTTAGAAATTTTTTTTACACATTTCCCTCTTGCAAATTTCTATTCATCTTTCAAAACCCTGCTCAAGAGTCACCTCTAAGAAATCTAACCTGACCTTCTTCCTTGCTCCTTTCGCTGACCTCGTTCAGGTTTCTAGAATTGTACTCGTCACAATCAGCAGGTCATGATCCCAGTACAGTGACTGAATTAAACAGTTACTTTTGTGTCTATATTAAAAGCTCCTGGAAGACAAGAACTATGTGTTTTTTATCTTTGTACACCCCAGTTCCATAAATAGAACCTGGAATAGACACTTTTTAAACAAATGAACTATGTGACAGCCAAGATTGCCCAATGAGAAGGGATTAGAGCTAATTAGGTGTAGTGTGCTTTTTTTTTGTTAGTGTCTTATGAATGATATAAAATGGTGAAGCTATTAAAGAACTGAGGAACTGTGATTTGAAGTGAATGTCATAAAGTATTTTTTAGTCTTATTATTATTTCTAAAATGTTAAAAACAGTCTTTGACTCTGCCTATACAGGAAAAAAAAGAGAGACTTGCTGATTATTCATTTAATTAAAAAACAAACCATTATCTAAATTAGTGACTCAAACCACAAGAGCATATTTACTTGAATTAGTTGTTTAGCTGTTTACAATGATCAAATCAACTAGATTGCTCTCTACCTCTTTTCACCTTGACCCTCCAAGGTATTACTCACCACCTCTGAGATGTGATTAACAAGTAAACAAAAATTCCTATGATTCTCTTTGTACACACAACAAGCCTTGGGCTGTTGAATACAAAGTACTAAAATCTGGCTCTTTCGGGAAAGATCACATCTGTGTTAGTTTATATTCATATGTCTATCCAACTTCATTCATTAATTTAATCAATTAACCTATTAGGAGCCAGGCTACTAGGTACTAATGATAAAACTGAGCAAGAGAGACATGATCCCTGCCTTTGTGAAGCTCAGAGTCTAGCAGAGACATGATACCATAGTGATGTTAATTATAAATTCTATTACATGAAAAAAATGAGGAGCTGTAGGAGCCACACTAAAAGCATCTTGCCTCCTCAAGGATCTCTTTTAGGTGATCTGAGCAGGAGTTTCTACTGATATCATCTTGTAACTGAAATAAATAATGAATCACAAAGACTTTGTTACTATATGTCATATTTACTTGAGTGTTGGCCTTATTTACTGTCTGTCTTGTCTATTTAATCAACTTACCCTGTCCTCGGGAACAGCTCGAACAGGTTTTGATAGACACGCAGTCAGTGAGATCAAAATTAACAAAGGTTGTGTTAGATATCATCAGTTCCCATCTTTTGGGAGTTTTGATCCCAGCTGACATACACGAGCTTCCCTGTGATTTAGAAGGGGAAAAAACGGGAAGAAAAATAAGAGAACTGGCCACAAGAAATACAATTTGTAATGCACAAATAAAAATAATTAAGAGAATAAAAAGACAAGCTACAGACTGGGAGAAAATATTCGCAAATCGCAGATATGATAAAAGATCATGAAAATATGTACTACACATATATTAGAATGATTAAATAAAAAAATTGTGATACCAAATGCTGATAAGGATAAGAAACAGCTGAAACTCTTATACAGTGCTGGTGGGATTGCAAAATGGTACAGCCACTGTGGAAAATAGTTTGGCAGTTTCCTATGACATTAAATGTACTCTTATCATATGATCTAGCAATTTAACTCCTAGGTGTTTACCTTAGAGAAATGAAAATTTATGTTCATACAAAAACCTTACACAAATGGTTCTAATAATTCCATTTGTAATCGCCAAATCTGGAAACAACTCAAATGTCCTTCACAAATGAGCGGATAAAGAAACTGTGGTATATCCTTATATCAGAATACTACCCAACAATAATAAGGAATAAAATATTGCTTCTTGCAACAAATTAGATGAATCTCTAACGCATTTGGGAGTGAAAGACGCCAGTCTCAAATGGTTACACACTATCTTATTCCATTTATATGATTGTTAAAAAGACAAAATTATAGTGACAGGGGATAGATGAGTGATTCCTAGGGGTTAGCTGTGAGGGGAGGATGTGGCTACAAAGATGGAGCTTGAGGGAGGTTTTGGGGATTGATGCAACTGCTCTGTATCTTGATTGTGATGATAATATTTACACAAGTCTATACATAAGTTAAAAATCAGAGAACTATAAATCAAAGATTCCATTTTACTATATGCTAATATAAAAATAAAAATTAAAAAGTCTAAAAAAAAACAAAAGCAAAAACTGCTTCCAGGATTTACCACAAAACCTCTTCGACAAACTCAATCTAATCGAGTCAGGCCCACTGTTAAAAATAATTGTACATCTAAGGATCACCTTGTCAGGGGCCTCGAACATGAAAGACAATGACTAAAAGAAACAAACAGAAGAAAAGAAACCCAGTAAAAACAAAGACAGTATAGAAATCAGAAGAAAATTTTAACATTATCATTAATAACCTCAGAGAAAAAAATATATTATATCCATAAAACAAGAAGCTAAAAAAGGCGTTTTTCAAAAAATAAAGGAATAAAACAAGAGGGCAGAAATGATAAATTCAGTAGAAAAAGTTGAGGAAATATTTTACAAAGTAGAATAAAAAGACAATTAGAAAATCAGAGAGAAAATTACGAAGATTAGAAAAGCAATTCAGGAGGTCTAATATTCATATAATAATAATTTCAAAACAAAAAAGGAAACTAAAGAGGACAGAATTATAGAATTATCAAAGAAATAAGACTGAAAGGTCCCACCCAGTGCCTAAAACAAAAGTTAGAACAAAAAGCCACACAAGGTACATCATAATGAAAAATACCAGGGATGAGGACAAGATCAAAAAAAACTTCCCAAAAGGAAAAGCTAAAATGTTACATAAATACACCTAGAATCAGAGTACCTTAAAACTGTTCAAACTCAAGACCAGAAGCTAAAAGGCAATGGAGTATTGCCTTTAAAATGTCAAGACAAAATTAATCCCAACCTGGTATTCTATAACCAACAATCCACTAATCCATTCGTAGCTCAAGACCTTTACCTTCCAAAGACCTTCACTCTGTAAGGAAGTTACTATAGACTATACTCTAATAAACAAGAAGTTCAATCATAAAGGAGGAAGATGTGGGAATCAGAAGCAAGAGTTCCAATACTTGTGTGACATGAAGGAAATCTCCAGAATGTTGGTGAAGAGAAATTCAAGGACGTAGCTGTGAAACCCTTCACCTACACTGCTGGCAAAGTATAAACACTTGGGATTGCTGGTTGGTATTATCTACTAAAGCTGAAACTACGGCTTCTGACCCAGAAATTTTATGATTTGGCATATATTCAACAGAAACATGCACATGAACACCGAGACAAATAGAAGAATATTAGGAACGTTATTATTCATAATAACCCCAAACTGCAAATAACCAAATGTCTATCAATGGCAACGTAGCTTTTAAAAATTGTGGTATAGTCATAAAGTAGAATACTACATAACAATTGGAAGAATAAATTATCGTAACATAAAAAAAAAAATGGATGAATGTCACAGATATAATGTGCCAAAAGAGCCAGGAACAAAAATTTACATGCTCTATGATTTCATTTATATAAAATTCAAAAATAGATTTGAACTCAATCTATGTCTATAGAAGTCTAAATAATGGTTCCCCTTTGGCTGGGGGAGTTGAGGAGTCTGGGGAATGGTTTAATGGAAGGAGGCATGAAGGAGCTTCAAAGGAGCTGGTAATGTTCTATGTCTTGATCTGGGTGCTATGTCCATGGTTTTAGCTTTTTAAAAGCCTTATTGAGCTCTTCACTTATAATTGTGCAATTTTCTCCATAGATATCATATTTCCATAAAACATTTATTTAAAAAGTGGAAGAAATACCAGAGAAAAGTAATATACAAGATGGGAGGGTGAAGAAAGAAGAGTTTAAGGTCCTCGAATTGCACAGATAAAGTTTAACAGTGCTGATGCAATTTAGACTTGACACACAAGCATGTTAAAAATTTAAGTCCAACAATTAAATTTATCATACAAAATGAATAACTTTCAAATGAATAATTATATTTTTAAAAGATATTATTTAATGCAAGACAAATCAAGTTTGAAAAGCAGAAAAAACAAACAGAAAACTGATCACAAACTGAAAGCACAAAATGAGATGGCAGAAATAAATGCAAATATATGGAAGACATCAGCATGCGAATGGTAATTGAAACCACTAGAGAAAATGAGATTTCTCCCAGGGGCAGCAAGTATATTGAGAAGTGAAGGGGCCCTACAACAGAATTTAGAGAAACAAAAAAATGAAAGGTTTAAATTGAGGAAGACATATCCACCAGTGAAAATGGAAAGGGACCCCTAGAGAAATAGGAAAAATGAAACAACCTCATCAACATCTGTCTGAATAAGATATTTTTAAAAGTAGTATTATCTGCTGAAATTAATTACAATAACAACAAAGAAGCAATCATTCTACAGATATTTCCAAAAGTAGGATGACCATACTTTACAACCAACGTGGGACATTTTTGAGTGGGAAAGGGGATGCTAATTAGATAGAAAGGTAAGGGGGAAAGTGTATAAACAAACTGTACAACCAAACTAGGATGTACAGCATAATGATGGTAGAGCACATCTTTTTCTTATATATCAAGGCCGTCCTCACTGGAAATTATTCTACCCATGACAGTATAAAAGTAATGTTGGGTTCTCAAATATGCCTAGGAGAAAAACATCCTTTCTAATAATAACAAGTTCTTCCAGAAATTAATGTTTGTTTTAGGATATGACTCGCTGAAAATTGTGTGCCACCCAGGTCTAAGAATGGATAGGCCACATTCTCTAAAAATCCTAATTCCTCCAGGAATGTCAGAAACAAAGACAGAGGCTAAACTCACAGTTCCACAACCATGGAGGTCATATATCGTTTTCTCTTTTTTTTAACAATTGACACGGTTTCATATGTTAATAAAGTGGTTCTCAAATTAATCTAAGCAATATTGTATTAAATAAAGATTTAGAGATATTTTGCTTGTTTATTTTTAAACCTAAGACTCTGCAGAGCCCTTAACATGTTAATATGCAATCTAAATTTTAGAGAATGGGAGATATATTAAGCCGCATATCCTAAATGTAATCAACCTAAGAGTCCTTCTTTTCCCAGACCCTCTCTTGATGGCTAGCCTTCCATGGAAAACACTTCAGGAAATACTGGAGTAAGCATTAATAAATGCTCATTGCCAAAGCTATTTTCTATAGATAATTGAAAGAATATTTGACCAGAAGTGGGAGGATATCCAGGTAATTGGTCCCAGCTGCACACTACTAGGCATGGATCTTGGGCCATCATTTGATTTCCTAAAGCCTCCATTTCTTTCCCTGTAAATTCTGGAGTTCTAACTATATAATTCTTAGGTAATAATTAGCTCTCAAATGGCTTGGCTTTAAAATTTGGATGCCTAACCAGGATCCAGATCTCTCCTAAAAGAAAATGTTTGACATTTTTTTATCTAGGGACTTTTGTCCTGCATCTACTTGTTAAGAGACTGAGAGACCCTCAGCTGCATTGCATTCCTGGTGAATCACACCCCAGGGATGTGATTATTTTTTATCTCATAATAAGCATCTCTTTGTCAAAATTTATATCTTAATTTATGTCACTCTCCCATTAATTATGATGTCTATTTAGCATCAATTAAGATGTTGCGACAGTAATTCACCAGGACAGTTATACAGCTTGATGGGCATTTCGTTTTTAGCTTCTCCTCTAAGGTTATTTGGGAGAAATTTAAGGGCCTTTGATCTACCAGTATCACAGAATCTCAATCTGGGCCCCATCCTCTCTTGAAAACTTTGCAGTCTGAAAAGAAGAGTCATCTCTCAAGGTGGTAATCCTTTCAGAGAAAAGGAAAAACTGGCAGGTATTTCTCTCCTAAAAAGGACGGTTCAAGAGATTTAATTAAGTAAATTTGAGAATGAGACATAGGAAAATGTAGCTTAGTAAGAAAATGATTTTTTTAAATCTTAATGTTAAAATCTATAACTATGAAATACTCTCCAAAGGGAGTATAAAAGACACCAATTATTATTTAAATTTCTATTGGCCAGAACATTCTGGAACAAATTAAGGATAATGCTCTTTCATTGGTTCTCAAAAGTAGGGTAGATCTCTTCCACCTATGATTTTTATGACAATACTAATTCTCATGAACCTCTTTCAAAAACAAGATCTGAGGGGAGCCATTATAGGTCTGAAGCCTACTGAAACCAGTGGCAGCCACAGACTTCCATTAAGGAGAATTAGTACTTTTCTTCTGTGAAGTCTTCTTTGCCTCATCTACATTAAGGTACCCTGGCCTTGCAGTGGCGGAGAAGTTATCTACAGTTGATGCTGATCATGTGGAAAACCACCGTTAAAAAAAGTAACAACAGGCCAAAATGTAGTCACTTTTGCTAAGTCAAATCACTGTTTCAGCCTCTCCCAAGAGTGGAATTTTAAATCAACCAGTCTGAAATTTTCCGATCAAGACTAGTGAGATAATCTGTAAGATAAAATCCCTGCCATTCCCTTCTCTCCAAAAAAAGATGACCTGGCTTACAAGTAATCCTTTCTTCTCTTTTGCTAATAACTTCCCCGCCATACCCTTTTACCTATAAAAACTTTCCATTTTGTACAACCCCTCAGAGTGCCCTTCTAGTTGCTAGATGGGGCATCAACCAATTCATGAATCCCTTAATAAAGCCAATTAGATCTTCAAATTTACTTGGTTGAATTTTGTTCTTTAACACCACATTTAGAGAAACATTAGGGAATCACATAAGAAACTATAATATACTACAGCAAATAATGAAAATTTATATCACCTTTTTTGAGGGGGAGGGAAGGCACTCTAAATAGAGTAAGGACCCTATAAACAGAATGTTAATGTGGAAACTTGGCAAGACACAATGCAGAGAGAAAATATGGAATCATGCTACTCTATAATCTTTGCGAGGTTAGAGTAAATTAATCTAAAATTATTAAGTGTATTGAATTAGTATGAATAATAATGCTAAATTGCAATCAAATAAGAATTCTGCAAAGTACTAATGATTTTTATGATTTATGTTAACTCATAACATTGAAACCTTGAGTATATTTGAATTTTATTATAAATATCACCACTGTTATGAATAAAGAGTTCCTCCAACACATATGATTTTGTTTTGAGGGACAGCCTAAAACAACCACAATAAGGTACTTACATTGTGGGCAAAATGACCAAGTAATAAGCTGTCAGTAACTGAAGTATTTGCATCACTTTCCAAGATGTCAATTCCAAAATCTCTACATGAATAAATTTGGAAGTTTTTCAGGTGAAGATTGCTACTTCTAAAAATCTGTAAAACAACAACAACAACAACAAGAAAAAAAAAAAAAAACAGCATATGTTATGGCAAAGGTCTGAGGCTTAATTTTATTGCAGGCTTCCTGTAGCTTCTTTAATTATTAATTAAATATAAATAAGCATGCTATACCATCTTAAGCAGCTTTTGTCCATCTATACATGTACAGAGATTCCAAAGTTGCCATGAGGTCAGCACTAACTAGTCCCCTTTGGAAATATCCCCTCTGTACTTTTGATTTCTCCTCACTGTAACTGACAGGTTAAAAAGGTCAATGTGAATTCTTCACATACTTAAACTTGCAATTGCTAAATCACACAAAACTAATGGAGAAAAACAGAGCATCCAAGAACTCCAGTACTTCACTTTGGTATGTATTAACTAATATTGTCAGAAAATTGTAAATATGAAATTAGTAATTCAACATGACTGCCAACTCAAACTATATTATGCGAATATATACGTACGACAAGTTGGGTTAGTGGGCCCAACCGGGATCAAGCATTAACTAAATTAGCTTGATAGAATTGAAAGAATCCCACTGGTTTGGAGAACAGAACCCTTCATTTTTACCTAGCAATGATATTAGTAATGTGATCTTGAACAAGATGTTTAACTTTCCCGAGGTCTCAGTTTCAACCATCTTTAAAATCAGGGTAGAAATTAGGATGAGCAATTAACCCAACTCAGTCATTTCTTTATTCATTAAGTTCATGATAATAGTCATATCTTAATGTGTAAGTTTCCTATTAATTAAAGCCAAGGTAGCCTTGATTTATCATAGTATCATACTTCTACCCATCAATCAGTCTTTGTGCTTGAATTTCCGAGAACTAAACAGCTTGCGTTTCCCACTTTGTATGCAGCAAAAGCTTTTATAAAATGATAGATCTTTGAAGTCACAGAGGTTTATTTAAACAAAATAGGTATGACCTGAACTGATAACAATAACAGTTGTTACGCAATTACAGGCATCTCAAATTCTGGAAAATATACCCATGTTCGAAAACAGCTAACAGCTAATATTAACTAGAAAACCTGTAAATGTTAAAGAAAACCAACACACAATTGCAAAAAGCCCCAGTTTATGGTATAAATACAGCTTTTATAATGTGCTCTCATCTCCCTCTTCTAAAAGAATTGCTCTGCATTTATGAGACATAGTGAGGAGAGGGTATTTTTCTCAATTTTTATTAACATATATACAGAAGAGTTCGATTGCTTGAGTTGGACTCCAACAATTATTAGCTGTGTGACTTTAGCAAGTATTTTATCCTCTTCTTATTATATAAGAAGAATAATAATGGTATCCCTCCCCCCAAAGGTTATTAAGATGACTGAGAAAATATCCAAAAATATCTATTAATATTAACAAATAGATGTAAATTTATGTTTACTCACAATAGAAATTTTACCTAATAGAATATTCTATTCAAGTATCAATATACTAATGATCAGAATACAGTCAGATATATATAATAATGAAAGTTTATAAAATTTAGACACCATGTACCTTTTGATGATACAGAAGATACTTCTCAATGTTATAATTTCCAGACATTATTATCAGCACTGATCTATCAGCACCCAATCTCGTTACTAACAACAAAAATGACAGCTGTTACTGTACACCAATGAAGATTCAGGCAATCTTCTAGGCACTTTACATGCAGGCACTTATTTAACTCTCAAAACAAATTTATCCTTTAGGTACTATCACTGTTTCCATTTATGAATGACAGCAAAAACTAGGGGATATGCCTAAGGTCACACAGATAGGAATTAGGACTATTTGAGAGTTTACATGGCAATATATGTAGGAAGTTAGATATTTTTTAAATAGTTTTATTAAGATATAATTCACATACTACACAATTCACCTATTTAAAGTTTACAATTGAAGGATTTGGGTATATTTCGGCATGTGTAATACCACAACAGTCATTTTTAGAACATTTTCACTTCAAGAAGAAACCCCATATCCTTGAGCGCTAAGCAACCACTAATCTTTCTGTCTCTATGAGATTTCCTTATTCTGGACTTTCATTCAAGTGGAATCATATAGTACATAGATTTTTGTGACTGACTCTTTTTACTTAGCATGATGTTTTTAAGGTTTATTTATGTTGTAGCATATATCATTACTTAATTCCTTTTAATGACTGAATAATATTCCCTGGTATTGATATATCACCTTCTATTTATCCATTCATCCATTGGTGGATATTTGGGTTACTTTCAACTTTTGACTACTATGAATAATGCTGCTATAAATATTTGTGTATAAGTTTCTATGTAGACATATGTTTTTATTTCTCTTGAATATATGCCTAGGAAGATAATTGATGGATCATATGCTATTTTCATATTTAATCATTTGAGGAATAGCCAGACTGTTTTCTGAAGCATCTAGACCAATTTTAAATTCCCACCAGTAGTGTATGAGAGTTCCAATTTCTCCAAATCTTTAGCAACACATGATATCATTTTGACTCTAATCATCCTAGTGGGTGTGAAGTACTATTTCACTATGGTTTGCATTTCTCTAATAACAAATCATGTTAAACATCTTTTCATATGCTTATTGGTCATTTGTATATCTTTTTAAAAAACATATCTATTCAGAACTTTTGCTTATATTTTTATTAGGGTATTTGTCTTTTTATTGTTGAGTTATAAAAGTTCTTTATATATTCTAGATATAAGCCCATTATCAGATATATGATTTGTAAATATTGTCTCCCATTCTATAGTTCACGTTTTCATTTTTTAGATGGAATCCTTTGAAATGTTAAAATTTTTAATTATGATAAAGTTCAGCTTACTTATTTTTCTTCTGTTGCTTATTCTTTTGGTATCTTGTCCAAGGATTCTTTGCTAAATCCAAGGTCATGAAGATTTACCCCTATGTTTTCTTCTAAGAAATTTAGTGTTTGTTTTCATATTTAGATTTTTTATCCATTTGAAGTTAATTTTTATAAATAGTATGAGGTAAGGATCCACCTTCATTCCTTTGCATGTAGCACTGCATTTGTTTCAGCACCATTTGTTGAAAAGAATATAATGCTCTTTGCATCCTTGTCAAAAATTAGTAGATTCGTGAGTTTATTTCCACATTCAATTCTATTCCATTAATCTATATTTCTATCTTTGCATCCATACCACACTATATTGATTACTATTACTTCGTAGTAAATTTTGAAATAAGAAAGTTTAAGTCTTCTTATTTTCTCCTTTTTCAGGATTGTTTTTGGAGAAGTTACATTTTAAATTCCCTACTATCATGTTAATTACTCTCCTCATAAAATAAAGTTTCAAGAGCATTCCCATTATTTGCACCTTTTGATTGATTAAATTTGAGTGCACAAGAGTTCAGTCTTTAAGGATATATTTTTTCTTTCATAGATTTAGCACTTCCAGTTGCAGAACTTGAGAAAACTGACTTTAATGATCGTCTTTTAATATTTTTGTTTTATTAGGTTATTTTCTCCAAAACAAGGTTATTCAACAGCCTGGTGAGAGTTTAAGCCTCTGCAAGGCATGAACTGCTTCTCTGCATAGAAGGCATTCAACAAATATTCCTACAGGATTTGTCACCCTTACAGTCACAGTACTTATAGGAAACAAAGTACTTCATAAAATTAAATGAGAACTAAATATTACTACAATTAAAATTCTTCCTGTCAGCTACCCTAATAATATGTTTTGGGGTTTTCCCCATCCACAACTTCCTCTTATTGGATATATGAAATAAATGTCTGACTTTCTTATTGTGACTTAATTTTATGTTTTTACTCTGTTTCTTGAATGCCCTATAAACACATTTCTTCATCTATGTATCTTAGACTCCAGATTTATAAGTGGCAGAGACCAAGTATATGTATTTTTTCTCTATGTAGCACCAAATACTGACCCTGGATAATTTTTATATGTTGCTGCTAACAGCGTACAAATCTTCCCTGGAAGAAATCGTTATGATAATGAAAAATAAATTATTAAATGTGAATTTTTTTGCCCTTTTGAGCAAAACAAAAGAAATTTTTGGCTCATTAATAAAGGTAAGACTGCGACTTTGAGCTGGAATTTTTGTTTTCCAATGATTAACAGCACTTTTTCTTAAGACTGAAGCATGTATTAGCCAAGATATTAGGGTATCAAATGCACAACATTTGGAGTCTAGATTCTGCTCCTGGTTGTGCCACTAACTATGTGACCTTTAACAAATGCCTTTACTTTCTGAGCTTTAATTTTTTAATCTCTAAATAGATATGGGACAGGATGAATGGTTGACTTCTATGATCCCTCCTGGCTGTAAATCTGTATAACTCTGTTGTTCTCTATGAGATCTACTGAAAAGTCACCATAAAAAGAAATGAACTAACCCTGGATTACTAACTACAAATTTGTTCATTTAACAGTATTATTCCACCAACACCTATGATGCTGTTTGCGCCTTAAAACTCTGATAATATTGCAATGCTCCCCCCAGCAGCAAATCATGCCCCTTTAAAAAATGATCCATAATAAATCATCATTAAAAAAAAAAATGATGGTTTTAATAAAAAACTAAAGAAACATACCTGGGCACCACCTGCACTTCCCCAAACCATAAAGTTTTGGAACAAGGTGGGGCCAGTGCCATTATCCCAAGGTGGCTGAAATTTAGGGTATACAAAGAGACCACACCTAGAAAGCAAAACGAAGAGTGAAATTCAGCCAATTTCTATGTTTTGAACACTCACTTTTTCTCATTGGAAAATATAAAGGTAAAGGTAATGAATAAGGGAGATTAGAGATGAACCCGTGACCCTTCTCTGTAACTATCATTGCCCATTCCTCAGCCTTTCCTATTTCCCTTAGAGACCTGCCACTGGATCTCAACAAGGTGCAGACTGCCATGATCCCATTCTATTCTCTCAGCCCGTCTTTAGGTTCACACCTTTCCCAGGATTCCGAACATCTTTCTCTAGCCCTTTAGAATGTGATCCCTGATATTCTATCAGTTGCCTTCTAGTTTTACCTCTTTGTAAGAATACCTGTAATTCCCCTGACTTTTGTTCCTCTTTCTAAAATGCCCTATCATTCTGGTATCCTAGATACCTTCTTCCCTCACATTCCAGGGTTGCTGAGACATGCTAGATAAAAACTTCATAATTTTAATGATAATTTCATGACACATGTATTAATCCTAGCCTCAGCTGACACTTCAACATGGCATACCAATTGTTCTTAATCCTTATTTCACTCTCCTTATCATTTTCTATTATAGCAGTATTCCTATACTATGATCATAATTATTTGTAATGATCAATTATTGAGTTTCTACTACATTCCAGGTATTCTTTTAGATGAATTATATGTCATTTCTAATTTTTGCATCAAACTTTTAATCTAGATCTTTCCCCATTTTACAAATAAAGGATCTGACTTAAAAAAAGAAAAAAAAAAGTGATTTACTAAGAGTAAAGTCAGGATTTGAATCAGAGCCTGATTTTGACTCTAAAGTCCACATTTTTCCATGTTCTCACCATGTTTCCCAGTCCTCGCTCTTAGCAGATGATCTTAATCCCTACATAACAAGAACTTTAAACAAGTCCCTTCTCATCTTACAGTATACAAGTCACAGGCAAAGAACCTCTTCTCCAAAGCTAATTTCCCCAGTCAGTTCCTAAGCCCAGGCACTCTAGATTTTCAATTGCTCACAATCATTGGAAGTTTAATTGCTCTTTCTACTAAATTCTCCTCTGGCCGCGAAAGGTGTACTCTGTCTTGCTGCCCTCTCAAGTGACTTCTCTCTCCCTTTCCCTTCCTTTCGCCATCATACTTTTATGATCCAAAATGCTTATAAAGGTGTATCATCAAATACCATATGGATATCAAAAGTTACACTCTCTCTGAATGTCATACGAAAAACGTTAAACCATAGGACTTATACCCAAAATGTAGATTCATTTCCCCAAAGTTACCTTGTACAAAAATGTGCAATATTGTGAGTGAAGGAGAGAAGTGGAGCTTGTGATGTCTGGTTGGTCACAAGATGAAAAAAGTAGCCATAACCAGCAGCACATACCCTATTTCCCTATAAAAATAAGGATAATTAAATAAGAGTTATTCCATATACAATAATTATTCCGTATACAAAAATTTTTGGAAAGACTCTCATATGTGTTCATTCTGCTTTTTCATTCACTTCTTGTTGAGGTATATTGATACTTTTAAGTACTCATGTACTTACCACCCACCCATCCCCCACATTGCCCTAGGAATCAAAAATATTCTCATTCCTCTTCTTTCGGGCAGCTCAACTAGACTGTAATTTGCCCACCTCAGTAACTGGTATCTCATATTAAAGTATCTTCAACAGTGAGAGGCTTACGTATGTCATCTAATCCAAGCTCTCCTCTTTGGTGTATGCAAGAATTTACAGTGGCAAAGCCACACCTCAAAGCAAAGTCTCCACAAAGTCTTCTCTCTGATCCTTTGAACAAATCAATACTTTGGCTATGGGCTGAAAGCCAGTGATTACACTAGCCATACCTTAGTTCTGAGTTTAAATACAACTCAAATCTCCTCAATGAACTTTTGTAGTGATTAGATCATTTAATCACTTTACTATTTATGCTTATAGAATTTAATATCTAAATAACTTAAAGTCTTTTATGCTTATATAAACATAAATTCTCCATTAGACAATATGAGTTTGAGGCTTTAATTCCAAGTGAACTAAACACAATGAGATATTCTTTATAAATTTAATGAAGTACCTATAATATGTTCATCAGTATGTAATATATTTTAAGACAAAATTAAAAAATGACTTCCTAAAGAGTCTAATATTGTACACAGAGGTATTTTCCTTGGCCTACCTAATGTTTATTTTGTTTCTAACATTTTCAAATCAAGACTTGATATAAACATTCAGTTTTTAAAAAATTCTGAGCCCAAATTTCTGTAAGATAACCATGGATTAGCTGGAGCTAAAAAAAGGGGGCGAAGGAGAGGCTGCTTCTTAGATTATGGATTATTTTGTCATAGTCTCCACCCTTCCTGCTTCACTTATCTATGATACTGGCCTAGTCCCTTCAGACATTTAATTTGGAACCTCTTAACTCCAGGTAGTAAAGTCAAGGACATGATGGCTGTTCTCTGTTTTAGTGGGAGGAACGACAGGCCAATAGATCAAGCTGCAGGATTGCTATTTGTGTGCATTTGTCCTCTCTCAACCTGAGAAGCCTGTCCAATGCCAAGAGGCCCATGTCTATTTAGAGGAAAAAAAAAATGTTAAAGAATAGTTTGCTCAGCCTGCCTCAGGCTTAAGTCTGTGCTACAGGGACAAAGGGATCCCCAGTGGCTTCCACATGGTTCATCTCTGATCACCTGGGGGTTTTCCAGGGCCTGGCTGGTGAGAAAAAGAATGTCAGAGTGTCCTCTCTGTGAGTAACTCAGTCTCCTAAGAGTATGCACTGTGGGACTAAGACAGCTCATCTTGAACATTGGCATAAGGACACAGAAAAGAGAATAGGGAGCAGGGAGGATCATGATGCTTTGCAACAGAAAAAAGGCATTAAATACCTTTCTAAAAAAACAACACTCCAAAGCCATAGCTGCCTCTATACAGGGCTCAGGGGGACTATGCTGTGAGTATCCTGCTAGAACAGTTTCTTAAACTTTAATGTGCACCCAGGGCAGGGTTGCCAGATGAAAGAAAGAAAGAAAGAGAGAGAGAGAGAGAGAGAGAGAAAGGAAGAAGGAAGGAAGGAAGGAAGGAAGGAAAGAAGGAAAGAAAGAAAGAAAGAAAGAAAGAAAGAAAGAAAGAAAGAAAGAAAGAAAGAAAGAAAGAAAGAAAGAAAGAAAGAAAGAAAGAAAGAAAGAAAGAAAGAAAGAAAGAAAGAAAGAAAGAAAGAAAGAAAGAAAGAAAGAAAGAAAGAAAGAAAGAAAGAAAGAAAGAAAGAAAGAAAGAAAGAAAGAAAGAAAGAAAGAAAGAAAGAAAGAAAGAAAGAAAGAAAGAAAGAAAGAAAGAAAGAAAGAAAGAAAGAAAGAAAGAAAGAAAGAAAGAAAGAAAGAAAGAAAGAAAGAAAGAAAGAAAGAAAGAAAGAAAGAAAGAAAGAAAGAAAGAAAGAAAGAAAGAAAGAAAGAAAGAAAGAAAGAAAGAAAGAAAGAAAGAACTAATCTCTTTTTAAGTATAAGTATGTTCCAAATACATTGCATGAGATATATTTACACTAAATACTTAGTAATTGTATATCTGAAATTTAAATTCAGCCTGGTATGCTGCAAATTGTCTGGCAACCCTAACCTGTGGTATATAAAATACATATTTCTAGGACCCTCAACCAGATATTCTGACTTAGTTGGTGTTGAGGTGTGGTGAAAGGATAAGGGACAGAATTCTGTACTCTTGAGCGCCACTGGTGGTTCTAATGCAGGTGATCTTTTGACCCCTTTTTGAAAACTACTTCTCTAGAGGTGACTGAGATATTAACACTGTACTGTCTAGTGATCAAGAGTTCTAGGAGAGGATCAAAGAGGAGGGAGACACTGGGAAGAATTCATTTTCTGGCAATCTTGCCATGAGCTATTTGAGAACTCAGTGTAAATGGAAGCCACTGTTGAAATCTGAAAAAGAATAGAGACCTAGAAAATCAGGGTGGAAATCTGTTACCAGATCTCAGCAAAAAGGTTGCTTAACTCAGTGCAATTTATATTTTGTGTTGAGTTTTTTCTTTCCCTTAGAATTATTTACTTTTTGGTTTCTTTTAAGTTATGACCAGATATAATGATAATACTCATAGTAAAGATTTATAGAGAAGCTACTACAGTCTGGGTACCAGATTTTAGATTCTCATTTAATATCACAACAATTCTGAATTATGTATTATTAATTTCACAGACAAAGAAATTAAAGCTTAGAGATATTAAGTAACTTTTCCAAAGTCACAGAGTCAGAGCTAGCTCCATTTATGTCCAAGCCTGAAAGTGTCAGGGATCATAGTCTAGGATAGAGAAATGAAGACAAGACCCAGAACCAAGAGGTGCAATGCAGTCACATCACCAGATCAAGGGCAGAATGGGAGAGTTTGCTATGGCCTTCCTGATAATGAACAAACCATTGAACATTTTTTGCAGAAGTCAATGTATCTCGGACATTTAAGCAAGATAAATTCCAGAGAGAAATTAATTGTCCCAGTAAGCCAGTTCTTAGAGGTATGCATTTATATAATCCTAGAAAAAAGTTAGTTAACCCTTCAGGTAACAGGTAACCAACCAGGTAACCTGTTAGACAAGACTGAGACAGTGATAGTGTTTGGAATTACATAAATACAGGTTTCCTCAAAATAGAAGAGCATCTTTTCAGGTCGGATTTAACTAAGAAGTTGTTTTCTTCACACCAAAAATCCAAACAATATAAAAATTCCTTTCAGCCTCCAGAAAACATAGGATAAAAAAAAAAACATGCTCAGCTCAGAGTGCACAGGGAGATATCTGGGTAAGGATTTGGGCCAATTCTCAATACTAAGAAGGAAAAGACATAACATTTTGAAGAGTGCATTTAAAGAGGACAGCAGTTCTAAAACTCTAGCATTATAGAAATGAACCTTATCCAGGTTTAGACATAAAGTTAATGAGGTCTGGCTACTGACATTGGAATGTTGAGCAACTGACAGAAGAAAAATCTGAGACTATCTGCAACTTTTATTTTATTAATATCATTATTTAATAAATCTTATTAGATTATTATTTAATATATGGACATAGTGGTATGGGACAAAAAAAGAGAATTACAGGAGGAAGTTCTGACCTACTCAGGAACAGAGCTCTTTCTCATGACCTTTTACACAGCTCAAGTTTTACTATACTCTGAGGAAGTAAGAATAGAGAGTAATGACTCCAGTCATAACCTTCTAGTTGTAGATGTTCTATATTTATCCTTAGGCTGAGTAAACTCATTTCATCTCATAGCTTCAATCACTCTGGATTAATATTTCATCAAATTTAATTCCTAAATGAAAGGACTTTAGGTATTATTAAGGTAGTTTCCCTGAACCTGGATGACCAACTGGCAGTCATAACACAGTCATAACACATGTGCACACACACACACACACACACACAGAACCAAGCAAAGTTAATATGGTATTAAAACTGAAATAGGTTGTTTTAAAACCACCAATACTCAACTTCTGCTTCCTGTGAGAATAAGAACCAATGTCCAGTAGTTCAATCCTTCATCCTTTGGGGACATGTGAGTGAGGACCAGCAGGCAACAGCCAGGACCTGGTGGGGCAGCCAGCACTTCCTGACACAATCTTCAATGCTGTTTCCTTAACTTTAGCATGTTATTCAGTGTGGGCCCCATGGCTCTCTCATCCTGGGTGTTTGTAATTAGGCAGCCACTCTATTTCTCACTCAGTTACAGAACTGTTTTCTTCCTTTGTGGACTAGAGGCTCATTCTCTCCTGTACTTTGATATTTTGGATTCTGAGTGTTTCTTAAATTTCCTGATTTAAAATTCTAATCACATGTTTCACCTACCACATGGTACTCAGCAAAAGTGACTTTTGTGTATTATTTAATGAAATGTTGAATTACTATTGAAGATGCTAACATGACTTCAAGGAACCAGAGCCATCTCTCAGACTCTAATGATTTTGAGAAAGCCTAGTCTAAAGTGGTGGTTGTCAGTCAAGGATAATTTTGTTCACCAGGGAGCATTTGGAAATCTCTAAAGACATTTTTGATTGTCACAACTCAGGAGGTACAGCAATGCTACTGGAAATCAATGGGTTGAGACCAGGGATGCTGGCATACAGAGGATAGCCTCTCACAACAAAGAATTATTTGACTCAAAATGTTAATATTACCACAGTTGAGAAACTCTACAGTTTAGACTGGAGGCATGTGTTGTCAAAATAATCCACGCCCACTTTCTAGCAGCCTATTTCCAAATTTTGATGGGAAGACCAACCTAAATATAAAAACATGGGTAATTACAACAAGAATGCTTTGTCATTCTTTACAAGGAGGGCATTTATGTCTTTTTAAACAATCAATCTGGCATTAAGCATTCTTCAAAAGAACATTTATTAGCATTGAATCAGCTATCTCAATTCTTCCCTCATGCTAGAAACATATGACATGCACTCATGATTCTTGGCTTCAGGAAGAATTTCTGTCACTGAGTTGGCAAATATAAATGCCCAATATACGTATCTCTTCAGCCCTCATAGGTACACAAGGAGGTAACATAGCTGTTGATTCTCAATTATGATTACACAACTGGAAATGTCCTCATGAAATTATATATGAAGCCCACCTTCCACACAGATTGTGCTGAGTGGTTGTGTCTCTACCTACCTGTGAGTCATGAGATAGGCCATGAGTATAAAAGAACTGAGGGGTAGGAAATGGGGGCTTCTTAAACAGCCACCTTTTCTGCAAGTATACTAACAATGAGAAAGGTGCACTAGATGCTAGAAGTGATATCTCATTTGGACATACACCTCCATTTTATTACCAATTAAATGCTAGTTCATTACCAAGACTCTACCAGGAGGTAAAAAATTCAAATGTTTGAAGAATATATTGCAAGAGCTACATCCTTATTCATCACCTTTGTCAGACAGGCACTCAAAGAGCACATATTTTGAGCAAATGACTAAATTTGTTGAATCATCTGCATTAGTGTCATTAGTATTTACAGAGCATCTGAATAATCATATATAAATGTTTTTCAAGTGCATTTATGTTTGGGCAGGATATTGCAACTTTGGTCATCTGTTAGCCGAGGAAGCACATTTTTCTTTTAAAAGAATCACTTGAACAGTTGGGTCACATTACTTCCCAGTTCTTTTACTCTCCATTCTGATTGGGTATGCTACAAATGATTCATGAGGAAAAACCACATTTTTATGCAGGCAGCCAGCAGCTTGTGGGGAACGGTTTAAGGCAAGCAGGGAATTTTGTGTGGAAATCAATTTTTTGCGGAAGTCAATGTATTATGGACATTCAAGCAAGAGAAATTCCAGAGAGAAATTAACTGCTCAAGTAAGCCAGCTCCTTGAGGTATGCATCTACAGTCACTAGGGAAAAAAAGTGAGTTAACCCTTCAGGCAGCTCTTAAATATACATTAGCTATTGAGTGGAGAGAGTGAGAGAACTGAAATTGAGCCTTTAAACACAGAATTCCTTACAAAATTGATTCACAAACCAGAACAAATTCTCCTCAGATTAAATGGGTGTTTCTGAAGGGTTCATCTTCAGGGATTTTCTGTGGACTATCTCAAACAAGAGTCTGGCCATTGGAAATTTCCCACACCACCACGAACATTAGACGCTCTGGAGCTCTGGAAGTGAACAGGCCCTCACTGTTTGAGAGTAGATATTTTCCAGCCTGAAGTTGACATAGTTTATGTCAACTGCAGAAGGGGAGCTTCTGGACAAATAACAAGGAATCTCCATAAAGGGAGAAGCCAGATTTGCTGAGGAAAGACAGCATGGAAATGGAGTGCTCTAAGAACTATGAGTAATGCATGAAGAACCAGCAAAAAGGCACAAAATCAGGTTTTGCTTCTTTGAAAAACTGCCCTGGACTTGGTTCAGCTGTAGCCTGGCTAGGGAAGCAGGTAGACCACTTGTGGCTATGAAAACTAAAAAGGAATACCATACTTGAAATCCCCTTGGACCATGCAAGGTTAAAGGTGAGTGAACTGTAAAGATGGCTGACTGGAAATCAAGGTAAATTCCGTGTGCTGTAGCTATATGTTTGGTCCTCAGCTTTGGGTCAGGGCAATTTGGGAATAATATACAACCACAGATCATTGCAAAACTTAAGCATCAACTCTGTTTCTTCACTGCCTGTCTACCAGGTCAGAGGTTTCAAGGCCAGACTCATTTGGGCGGAAGAGAGAGTTTAGGCTTTCAGGGTTGGTTACCGGGCACTAGGATTACATCATCTTTTTGAGTTTAAATAAGGGCTTTAGTTTAGTTAATACTATTGCCCTGATGTCAATTCAATTTCTTGATTTTGCTATTACTCTGTGGTGATGGTTATGATTACATTATCATTGGGTGAAGCTGAGTGAAAGTCACACAGAAATGCTGTGTTATATATTTGCAACTTTTCTGAGTCTAAAATTCTTTCATAATTGAAAGTTTAAAAAAAGAAAAAAGAAAAATCTTAATTAATTATAGTAATATAGTGGTTTTCCAATATATTTTGCCAGACTGCAAGAAAACTGAAAAGCAAGGCAGATGATGTCAAAAAGACTGAGCACACACAGGGCTTGACAGCATTCCCTTAAGGGGCAGTTTGACTCTAAACCGTTCACATAGAAGGACATAAAAGCCACCACCCATGAAACGGTTCCTCAGAATAAGGAATGTCTCTCCCTTGAATATCAGAACAACCCTAGAAGGGGGAAAGTTTTTTTTACCACATCTTTTTCTGTTCCACACATTACATACACACACACGCACACACGCACACACACACCCCACATATTGTTATTGTAGCCTCCTTATTATCTTTTTGGAATAAAGGTATATTTCTAAAATATATATTTTTAAGTACCCTGTGTATTGTCCACATAGGGCACACTTAATAAATACTAGCTTCCTGTTTACTCAGTAACTGAAATGACCTTCTTTGGCCCTCAGGGTCAAAAGCAGTTCACAAATTTTAGGTTTTTCCATATATGCCCAGTTATCATCTAGTTCCTTGGTAATAGCACATTCCAGACAATAGAATACAAGAGACAGCACAGCAGAACACCAGTAGCATGGCTGAAAAATTGGAGTGGACTAGGCAAGGTTCAACACTGAGAGATGAGTTCCACAGAATTTTAAGGCTGCCGCAGATTAAACATGTTATTTTCCAGTCGTTAAAATGATTGTGGGATCTTGGAATCTATTCTTTACTTTCCTCTTTCTTCCCCTCCTTCTTTAATTATGGAATTATACCTACATTCATTTATTCATTCATTATGTTCAATTAATTTGTGTTGAGAAACTACTGCGTTTCTGACATCCTGTTAGGATAGAAACCTAATAAGCTAATGAAAAGAAAACTACAGAATTTTAAGATCATTGAAGAAAATATCAGGAATACACCTAATGAATATATTTAATGAACATATACTACTGGCTTAAACAGAAACTTCATTCTTAAAACATGTGCATTGTACTTGTTTAAATTTTGTGAAAAAGATATAAAAGAAAAGTAAATGAATGAAAGTAGAAGGCATCTTCAGGGAAACAAACAGCTTGTTTTGAACTCAGTTTATTCTACTGCTGACTGAGCTTTATTTCATATATCAGTCTGCAAATGTCAGGTGACTTATGAGCTTTTAAGGTGGCCCTCTGGTTCTCCACACCTAAGGACCTATAGTCAGCTCGATTCTACTTCTGGTTGACTAGTGTCTAAGACACCTGCCCAGGAGACCATGTAGGACCTAAAGAAGCAAAATCAAATGGATAGCACCCCTGGGATTCAATACAGGATTTGGATATAGTCCAGCCTTGTGAAGGAAGATGAATTGGGAAACCCTGAGGGTCTAATTTCCTCTAGGTATTTCAAGGTAGGCAAGATTTTGCTACCCGAGAAAGTATGCAGTAACATAGTTCTTCAGGCCTCAAAGCTTGCTGGCATAGCTGCACAATAAGCCTTGTAGTCACCAGCAAGTTGTATGCTGCTCTCATTGTTTTGACTCTAGAATTCGGTTTCCTTCAATCGTGTAGTTCTGCCTCCTTTCTTGCTGGCATATTAGCTATTCCCATTAGACACCTAAAATGGTATGTTAAGTACTATGCTTGGAGAAACATAATTAACAGTCTGGAGGCGGTCTGAGGAAAAAACCATGACTTTTATTAGGGGTTATTCAGATAAAAATAATTAAAAACAAATGACCAGAGAAAGACAGAGACGTTCATTCTCTCAGTACCTCAGAAACTTGGCATAATTGACTTGATACGATAGATGCTCAGAGGAGTGCCCTGGAAGAGTAGGATATTAATGGGATAAAATCATTGGAAAAAGGGAAACTACGTGCCCTTCCCATTGCTCTGATGCAATTCCTCATTCACAGATCTATGGTTAAATTATACCAGAAAAACTAATTTCTTAAAGTGTTTAAAGATAAATTTACTGAGAAAAAGCAACGTTAAGTTGTGTTAAATAATGGGGTAAAAATTCAAGGCCATCAGGGTGTACTTCATTCATCCTGGAAATTGACATGACTCATACACGTCTCATGACTTTACAAACCCTCAGTTTTGACACTTTTAAAGGGCAACACGATGACCACATTAACACAATAAGACAGTGAAGACTTAATAGGTAATTAATACTGGAATCGAAACAAATATCAGCACCACAGTGGATAGCTTAAGGAAACATTTTAGTTGGTATTAATTTAAGTGACCAGAAAAGAATCAACATCTACTTCGTTTTGCTCCATAGAGATATTGCATCAGAGCATTCATGGGAATTCTGAAAGGAACATATTTAACCTGAAGGACTTGTTTAACACAAAATCATAAAGTAGCTTCTCAATACCAGTGTGTAGCAAGTAAACATTTTATACCATACTACTGATGCTGTCACTCCAAATAACTTTTAGAGTGACCTATATGCCCTCTCGGCTCTGACCTTCCTGGTGAAAATCTTACCTCTACAACATTGCTGGGGCTGCGAATATAGACACCAGCTGGTGTCACCATTTCAGGATTGGAGAGTCCTTCGGTGCCAGAAACACTGATGATCACATTGTTTCTTATTATATTTCCCTGTTCTGACCAGTCTAATTTAAGAAAAGATAAATCAAACCCAAAGGATTTATAAACATAATTAAAATTTATACAACTCAACACTCTTATTTCTACTAATACACATTATAGTTCACATAATGCATATATATGTGTATGAACATAGATAACATTTAGTATGTTCAATGAACTTAAGATATCTAACATTCATCCATCAGGCCTGCCTATAAATTATATGACAATTTAAAAGGATTCTAATAGGTTTAAAACCAGTTTACATATTTACCATTTTTTCTTCCAGGAATAGCCTCCCAAGGAATATATCTTGTCTCCAAGTATGTACCTGAGAACAAAAGATCATGTTACTTCAGCACATTTTGTGACACCTAGGAAAAGGAGGGACACTGCAATACTATTTCCTCTTTGGTGTGTGGCTTGTTTTGATTTTGTTTTTGTGTTTTCACCTGTGAACCAGACAGAGATATAGATTATATGGACCTTTTTAGTTCTAAGTTATCATGGATCAGCTCATTTTAAATAAGAAAAAGAAAGAGAAAAAGAAAGAGAGAGAGAGAGAGAGAGAGAGAGAGAGAGAGAGAGAGAGAGAGAGAGAGAAAGAAAGAAAGAAAGAAAGAAGAAAGAAA